ACCATGTCTACATGCCTAAATGCACTGAGTTGCCGCCATGTGATTGGCTGATTAGAAATTAAGTGTTAACGAGCAGTTGGACAGGTGTACCTAAGAAAGTGGCCGGTGAGTGTATTTTCTACTCACTGCTGTTTAGAGCAACAAGTTCAATAAAAGGTAACTGGAGATGGATGGAATAAAAAGGATCATTCAGGCAATAAAAATAAAGAACTTTATTGACTGTTCAGTTTGGCATTTTAAGCCCAGAGCGCAGTTGTGAATAATTTCAAGTTCATTTACAGTCCAGTTTACAACATGGCAGCAAACATGCAGAATCAGACATGCCATCAGGTCTTTACCCATCAATCATGTGGAACAAAGCAAGCTGAAAGTCAAACCTACATCTGGAAATGTCCAAAAAAACAAAAACAAACAAAAAAMAACACACAAACAACAGAATGTTGTGCTCACGTCTCTTCTTCCTGTTTCAGTGTTTCAAACTCACAAATTAAATTAAAATTTCCCAAAAACCTTCACCACAGTGAATGGATTATTTAAAAGACTTTTCAAGTACAACGCACACATTTCATCCAAATCAGGGGTCAAAATGTGTCCACATTCTGCAGCGTTCTTATCCGCAGGCCTAAAATCCCAAGTGTTTATGCATATTTTTATTTTTGCAAATCCTAATGGTACAAATGTGCATTTATGTTTTTTTTTCTTTAAGTGCAAACTGCATAAGATTTAAAAAGGAATCTGTCTCACTGTGATTTACTTCAGATGTGGCAAAAAATGAAATGTACTTTATATTCTGAATAAAAGAAGTTGCTCGTGGTTATGACAGGACAAGAAAGACTCACCAGACTCTAGGCAATTTGTGCAAACGTTCTGCAAACAAGATTTACATTAAGAACATAACAGGATATCAAAACAGAAAATAAGTTAGGATGTCACAATTAACAGGCTTTTTAAACACAGTGATTAAAAGAAAACCATTTATTCATTAAAAGAAACAGATAGAAGACAGGGGTTCCTGATTAGGGTCTAATTACATCCCTGTTTGTCGAGTCAGCGTGGTACTTTTTGCTTCTTTATCAGCCCTTTAAGATTTGCTCAGTGTTTCTGTGAATAAGACAACGTTTTGTTTGACAGCTGTAACACTTGAGGGTGAAACTCGTTGGGGGTGGGGGCTCGGGGTCATCATGTCGAGGCCAGGGGTCGCAGGAGCTCCAGCTGGGATTCCAAGGTGACCCTCTCCTTGTGAACCACCTGCAGCCAAACCAAATCAAACAAAACAGAAAACATGACCTCAGATGACTGGAGCAAGAATTTCACCTCGGGCGTGAATAGCGCTGCTTGCTTTGTTTGTTATGAAGACGACAGTCAGGAACACGAGCATGCCTGTAGCTGCCCAAACATCCTGCTACCATCGTTCCACCGTAATGACATTAAAGTAAAAGTTACGATTAAAAAATACTTCGTAAAATTATAAATCCTCAAAAAAAATTACTTAAGTACTGTAACAAAGTAAATGTACTTCATTAATATGTATCTTGCAACTTTAAATTGTCTTTAGGTGTAAGTAAGAGAGTGAATGGTTGTCTCATTTGTCTCTATGTGTCCCTGTGACTAACTTGCAAACTGTGCAGGGGGTCCCCCGCTTCTCATACCAGTCAGTCATGGTGCTAATAAACATCATTACACCCCTGGTTTCAGTCATACCTGTCAGATGGGAGCTTCTCTGTCCAGTTAGGAGAGAATTCTTTAGCTGTGACCCCCGTTAGCTGTGGGGTACCTCAAGGTTTCGTCTTTGGTATCCTTCTGTTTTAATTCTATACGCATTCATTTTCAAAAAGCACAACCTTTCACTCTTTTGCTGATGATATTTGGATCTATCTGCCTGTTCCAGTGAATAGTCAATCATGTATTCAGGCCTTGGTAAACTGTCTCAGAGATGTAGAAAATAGTGGATGGAAATCCTTAAAAAAACCAAATCATAAACAATTTTATTTAGACGATCTTGTCTAAATAATTACAACAACACATCTGGCCCATTAGATTACAAATGGAACCTGTTTGCAAGAAATCTTGATTTTTAAGAGTCTTTGAATTGGATAATATCAAATTACGTCTAACACACTGACTGCTAGAGATAGTTACCAGCTCCCTCATGGCCTGTAAAGTCCTTTCAGCTTTTCAACATTTTCCAATTRTGGGTCTCCAGTAAAGATGAGGCCTATGTGCATTCATTACATCTTATTTGGAATATTATAATTCTTTGGATGTTGGCCTTGATCAGWTGTTATTAAAGGTGCCTGCAGGCTACACAAAACAACAGCTTGTATTTGAAAAGAAAGGAAACTGTACTTGGCTCCTGTCACTGGCTTCCAGCCCATTTCAGGATCCAGTTTGCAATTTTATTGCTTCATTTTATGTTTCTTATTATATGACACTACTTTCTGTGTCTGAGCTTCTGCTTATACTCAAGTTTGGGTCTGTACTGCTTCCACAAACAGTCCATGTGCCGAAAACAATTCTCCCAGATGTTTTTGGCAATGTGTAATACATTCAGAGGTGTCAAGTAACTAAGTACAAATACTTTGTTACTTTACTTAAGTAGTAATTTTGGTTATTTATACTTTAGT